GTATGAAACAAGATGTGAAAAAGAATTTTTTTTTTAGGGATAAAGGGGTAATGTATAATTTTGTTTTAAAAGGATTCTGCAAGGTACATAAGATAGTATTGTAGTATTTGTATTAGAAATAGAAAATTAGAATTTTATAAGACTTTAATGTTTTATAAAACATTAAAGGTTTAATAATGATAGATTTTAAGATTTAATAAAATATTAAAAGGAATGTTTAAAATATTTAGTTTAAGTATAGAGTTTAATTGACTATTGTGTGGATGTTAGTATGAACTTATTATTATAGCATTTGTTTTTGAAATAGATAATTGGAATGTTATGAGATTTAATGTTTAATTATATATTTAATTACTTTACGGATTTACTATTTTCTTTCTCTCTTAAAAACTAGTAGGTAGAATGTACCAAGCAGAATCAGATAGGGAACTAGGTGTTACCTTAAATGTTGATTTAGGGGAGCGATGGAAAGGCATCATACTTCGATTAGTGATTTCAGGAGAAATCTTTTTTTTTTTTCTACTATAGGGAATGAGATAAATGGATAATTGGAAAAGAATGGACAAAAGATACAAGTATAATGATTTAAATTCAGATGAAATAAATAAAATAGAATTAAGAAGAGTGGAAAGCGGGGAGAAGTTATAATGAAGATATAGAATGGTAAATAAGATAGGTAATGGTATGTATGATGAGCATAAATTTAATTGAAGTCCATATAAAGAGAGGTAATCCGGGGCCAAGCTACTTTTTAAAAAGAAGTTTTATGTTTTTGTGTTTTGTGTGTGTATGTCTGTTTGAGATTTAATAAAACCTTGGAGGAAAGCTAGAGGAGAATAATTGCAAACAAGACAGAGGGAAATATGAATATGATGATAAAATGGATAAATATAGAAGAAATGTAACTGAATAAGAGCAAAGAGAAATAATGAGAAATCTGCTAAAAGATATTTAAGTGGAAATGGGATATATCAGAACTATATTGTATAAAACAATGTTTTATCTGCCTTGTAATAATTTATAATGGAAAGAGGTTTAATGTCTTCAATGTTTAATGATGTTTTGTTTGTCTTTAAAAATGAATAAAATCTGTTTTTTTTGTTTTTTGTTTAAAAAGAAATTAACGAAGAATGGATTATGAAGGTGGTAGAATTTACCAAAATGTCAAAATTAACTTGTTTGATCAGGGATAAAACAATAAGTACTCTCATAAAAAACTGGAAACCACTTGTGGTCCTTTTTATTAAAAGTGGAAACAAATATATTGGCAATTTATGCATTTGCTGATAAAAAAGGATTGAATATGGGAAGAAGAGAATGATATAAATCTTAAAGACGGTGGAGAAATAATAAGTTTATATATTAGTGCTGTGAATAAGATTGGAATTCACTTCTTTATATAAATTTTCCTTTTCTTTTTCCAGATGTATTTATTGTTCCTTGAACTTTTACATTTTTCTTTTTGTATTTTAATGGTTATCTTCTACTTACATAAATATCTTATATATATGATATAATAACATGGAACATCAGATAGTAACATAACATAATATGGAACGTAAGAAAGAAATTACGTAAAGGGCTCATGACCCCATCTGCCTATCAGCAGGTGAACTCTCCAAAACCAGAACAAAAATGGTGCATGAAGGCAGCAAAAGAAAGATTAAGATTAAAAATAGGCTGGGTTCAAATGATAACACTGGGGGAAAAATATTTCCCTGGCTGTCCCTATCTCAATGAGGCAAGGCTCTGAATTTTACCATCTCGTGCATTCTAATCTCTCTGTTCTCTGCCTTCTGAATCAGAAAGAATTCTTGAAGCCATAGATTTTCCCTTATTTTGTTTATATAGGTAATCCTTGACTTACGACTGCCTATTTAGTGACAATTCAAAGTTACAACAGGGGCATCCAAAAGGTCCTTACGATCCGGTTCCAAAATTCTGATAGCTGTCCACTCCATTTGGTCATATAACTGTATTTTAGGCACTTGGAAATATTTGCAGTGGCCTGGAATCACAGGACTGTGATTTTCCATGTTTTTGCTGAAAACTGGCATTTACTTTCAGTTTTTGGCAAAGCTGCCCCATAGCATTTGCTTAATGACTATGGATTTGCTTAAGACTGCCCTCCAAAAAGGTCCTAAAATTGGTTCAGTCATGGGGGGTGTGTGTGTGTGTATGTGGCTTTTCACCATCATGACTTACGACCATAATGAGTAGGCTCTGTTACAATGATAAGTTGAGGATTATCTATATATTAATCATAGTGATTCATTTATAAGCAGGCTGAGTTATACAAAGGATAAAAGGTGAAAAATGCAACTTGCAGCAAAGTATTCAAACTGTATAAAGAACTCTCTTGGTTAAGTTAAGATACAGTATTGCATAATTGGTAAACTTTTTAAATTTTATTTCAAACAAGATAGTTTACCTGTCTCAACTGAGAAAGAACAATTCTCACTGAGTCCAGTACTACATGCAGATTCTTCTTCAGAGCAGCATAATTCTCCATTTTGTTTTTGACATGTGTAGAACTCTACAAGGTTCTCTACAAGGAAAAAAATATTTCTTAGGATTTTAAAGAAGAAAATAACTATACAGCTGAATGTGCTTGGGCAATGGTTAGGAAATATGAATATTTTTTTTAATAAGTTCAAAAAATATCCATGGATAAAACATACATCATTCTTTTTGTCATCCCTGGCTGGCCTTTCTCCATACTGAGGACTGCTAGAAATGGTATTGAACTTCCACACAGCAAGAGTATGAAACCCATTATGAGCAGATGTGGTTAAAATACAATGATTAATATCTCTTCACTGCTGGCTGGAGATGTAGATCACTATGGATTCAATGGTAAAAAAGGTGTTTCAGAGCACGTAGAAGTGCTCAGGCTGTTGCAATTTCTTCGAGCTGTGCATTTTCCTGAGGTTGCACAGATGGCTATCACAGCTTGCTACGTTTGGCTTAAACAGTTGCAAACAGATGCTACAAGTGCTTGGAAGCCCTTTCCTGTTTTGGGTCAGGCCTTTCATAGCCCTAATCTGGAGAGCCATCTTAACCCTAATTCTGCCCTATGCTTCTTTGCATAATTTACTCAATCTCAATTTTAAGGTGTCCATTCCTAGTTGCATCTCTATTCCTCACTTTAATCGGAGGGACTCTACCTCATCTCACAGATAGCAAGGCAAGGTGCCTGCAGCAAATTGGAGTCCTTGGTCTTTCCTCTTTTTTTACAGTGGTCAGAACCATCACCAAGTCAAGTTTCCCTGCTCCTAAAACTAAGTTGCAGTTGTTCGTTATACCTCTTTCCGTGGGAGAATCTGTTTCAGAATGAGAGACACTGGAGGAAGGTTTATAGTGTTGATTCGCTTCCCTTTCGGGTTCTTCTACTTGATGTTGAAATTGCTGGTTTAGAACCTCATAATTAGCCCCTGCTGTCCCAGATCGGTTCATACACATGAGTGACACACCCGAGAACAATATGCTGATGGTTACGATTACTGCAGTAGTAATCACCTGGCCAAAAGAGGAATCGAAAGGAGGAAGTTAGGCAGAAGTTAAATTATTATAATTATGATGAATTGCACGGTCCACCAGATGTTCAGACTGGATTTGGCATTTTTATCCACCTATCAAGTCCTTCCAACGACCTGGGATAGGCAGGTGTTGACGTTTAATGGTGTTAGAGGTTCTGTTGCAGGATGTAAGCTGTTCCGAGTAAAGCTGCCTTTTGCAATTGACTGATGGGGAATTTGTCAATGCCACTGTTGTTTCAAGTGGTGCTCCAGTTGTTTTGGGATTGCACCCAAGGCTCCTATGACTCTTGGTACTACCTTTGCTTTCTTTTGCCATAGTCTAGAGAAGCCAAACTCTTAGGGTTCTTCAAATTTTGGGGAGCAGTTATATAGTCAATTAATTAACGTCCCCCCTTTTCAAAAGCTGCTTCTCTTTATCAAATAATGAGCTTCATTAAGCACTGATCAACAAATGGTAATACAAAACTCTCCCTACCTGATGTTTCCCATAAAAAAATGCTGAGTCAATTTCACCAGTGTGTTTTCCAGCCATTAGAAGAATTCCAACAATGACCACTGGGATGCTGCAAAGTATAAAATACAGTATAAATCATACATGTAATTAGTTTGTCATATCCTATAAATTTTCTTAGCGATGAACTTTTGCAAACTTACCCCCAGCCAGCTATAGTAATAATTCCAACAGGAATCTTTAGGTTTTCCCTTCTTTTCAAAAGGAGAAGAGAAAGAGCTAAAAGGCCTATTGAAAACAAGGAGAACATCTCAGTTTTGTTCTTTTCAGGAAACGGTATTTCCCCCACAAAAACAGGACCTCTCTCCCTCCCCTTCTCTCTCCTGTACTCAAAGGCAGCGACATAACAAGCCTGCTGTTCTTATAGCAATAACATTAGCTTGTGGGATGTAAGAACCTGTCCATCCTGCAAATCAAAAGCAATATTTCATTATAGGGGTGTCACAGTTACTTGTTGGTATGTCAGTATATCATGACAAGAGTCAGTCAGTAACGTATGGGTAAAGGCTGCAGACGCTATCGGAATGCTAATGATTCTTGTTCCGTATATTGCGGTGGTTGGCTAGGAAGAAGAAAAATTGAGATCATTGTATTTTCAATGGAAAGTAATTTATAGGATTAATGTAATATATAACGTAACTTAATTTCTGCAGTCATATCTATGTAGCTCTTGCACATTTTCTACTCAAATATATATTTATCCAGTGTTGCAAAATATAGGGTATAGGGAATACGTGACAACTATTTTCAGACACTGGGAAAGTGCTGACCACAAATTTCCTTATTAGAGCTGACATGAGGTTTGGGATTGCAGTACTGAGTTTTAAGTAATATATAAGATAAAATTGCTTTTTAAATGCATATCCCATCACCAGCCAGCTGGTTATGAACATTACAAGGCTGTACTGAAGGAAATGGGCCCATGGGAAACCTGTAACTTCCAGTTTTATCAACTGGAAGTCACTCCCAAGGTGATTCCTTCTTTTTAAAAAAAATAAATTTTATTGATTTTACAATTAAAACAAACCAACAACACATACATAAATGAAAGAGAGGAAAAGAAGAAAGGGAGAAGAAAATAGAAAGAAAAAAATAGAAAACAATTAAAAACATTCTCATCTTCAACAGTTTGTAAGACCTCTTTTTTATCCTTATTTTATGCCATATACACACACCTAATCCTTACATATATCTGTGTATCACTACTATGGATTTATCCTATCCTCTTTTGCCTTTTAGTGTGAAGTCTATCCTTGGTCTATCCATTTGTACCAGCAGTTCCAGCTGTTGTAGTATATTGAAGTGTCTTTATTTTTTAATGCCAAAGTTAATTTGTCCATTTCTGCACAACTTGAAATTTTTTGAATGATCATCTCCTCTGATGGAACATGAGGCTGCTTCCAACATTGTGCAAAAGCGAATCTGGCTGCTGTCAAAATGTGTATTATTATATATTTCACTTTTTTTGATATTTGTTTATCAAAGATCCCTAACAGAAAGGACTCTGGTTTGAATTTGATCTGTTCTCTTGTCATTTCTTCCAGCCAATTTCTAATTTTCTGCCAATATTTTTGAGTTTCTGTACAGGACCACCACATATGGAAAAAAGTTCCCTCTTTTTTTCCCCGCATTTCCAGCAATTCGGACTCATATAGGGGTGCTGTAATGTTTCTTCTATGGTTTTTTGTGCCATGGGCGAAGCTGTTGCCGACGTAGTTGTTAACGTCGGGGTGACCTTTCTTCCAGTTTTCAGAGCTGTAGTAGTTGTGGAAGTCATTTCTTTTAAGATTTGTTTCTGTTGTTGTACTATATTAATTATATTATCCCAAATTAACATTCAGTGATAGAATCTCTGAATTAGGATTGACCAGTATCTAATTACTTAATCTATCTATCTGCTGGATAGCTGTGCTCTTAACTGGTTACTGGAGTATAAGTACTTATATATAAAAATATTATTGCTGTATTATTTTAAATCCAAATTCTAAATCACATATATAATTTTGTAAGGTCTATGCTCAGCCTCTATACATAACTTCATGTAGTGTGTGTGTGTGTGTGTGTGTGTGTGTGTGTGTGTGTGTGTGTATGTATGTGTGTGTGTGTATAATATCCAAATCCAACTATATTTAAATATTATAAATAAATATGTGTATTTATCTTACCTTATTTTAAATATTCTTAAACACAAACAGTATTACATTCGTTCCCAAGTGGATTAATTGTGATCACACAATAAATTATAATATTAATACATAAAATCCTATACTTATTAAATAATACTTAATGTTCTTACTATTTTCCCTATATATCTAATCAAAGTATAACTATCACTATTATTAATAAATCAATTAAATCAATTAATTCAATTATTTAACAATCAGTTACAACAATCAATTTTCCTTTCCCCAGTATGCATATTTATAATCATTATAAAGAGAGAGTAAAGAAGGAGAGATAGTTCATCATAGCGCCAGATGATGAGGGAAAAAGAAGAAAAAAAATTGAGCAAATGTATACAGAAAAAAGGGAGTAAAAAAGGGGGGAAAAGGAATTTTGAAGTAAGTTTTTAGCTTTCCGTCTCTAAGTTTGAGAGCTTTCACTCCAAATGCACCGGAAGTGGGGAGGTAAAAAATGCTGAGTAGTGACTGCAATTACACAGTATCTCCACACATTCGGAAGCTTCCACTTCCGAATGTATTAGCATGTATTAGATAACAGATAGAAGTACAAACATGATTATTAACACATGAAATGGATAAGAATAAAAGGGAGCATTAAGACAGGGACGGTAGGCAAGTTGGTGCACTAATGCATGCCTCTTAAAAACCTCTTAGGAATGGGGTGAGGTCAAGAGTAGACAGTCTAAGGTTAAAGTTTTTGGGGTTTTGGGAAGAACTTCTCCATGACATCTGCCTTCCCCTGATCCTCACTTAAGTCCCATTCCCTCAGTGCAAAGTGGGACATCCCTGATCAAGTAGGATTGTGGATTATAGTTATCCAAGCATAATTATTCAAGCAAATCTTTATACTGCATCCAATGGACTTCTAATCATACAATTGCAACCTCCTTTTTTTCCCCTTCTGCACCTTGGTAAAGGAATGAACAGGAAGAGTTACCAAAACAAGAGTCAGGTAAAAGAAACCTGAATCCAGGACAAAACTACAATCGGAGAAAGCCTCTCAGACAAGACCGTCACTAGTTTTTACAAAAATAAAGAGAGGGAGCAGAAGGGCATTCAGACTTCCAAGATTCTATTGCTATAACTTTATCATTAAAGTAGTACTAGCCTGTAGGATTGGTTTCCTAATGTGATCTATCTTGAAGGGTTAAAAAAAGTCTCATACAATCCAATAATCCAGTGATTCTCCACCTTGGTAAGTTTAAGATGAGTGGACTTCAGCTCCCAGCATTCACCAGCCAGCACAAGATGGCTGGGGAATGCTGGGAGTTGAAGTCTATTCATCTTAAACTTGTCAAGGTTGAGAAATACTGCAATAATTCTATTTACAGACTTTTAAAGGAGTTTTTAGGAATGGATAGGAAGGTTGAAGCTGATTCAGTGGTAACTGTTCAATAGGTAAAGAGACTTAAATGGATGTAAACTGGTGTTAAAAGTTTATGCTTCAGGAACATAGGATAATCTCCAAGCATTGTCTCTTTAGCATTACGTCATCAAAGAAAACATATATTGCTTTATAGGCCGGAAATTTCTACTTACCTGTCCACAGAAAAGCACTATAAAGGGAACAGTACAGGAGAATGAACACAAGAATCTGCACAAAGATGCTTTTCTTCTCTATAGTGAAATTCCACATTACCATTCCAACACAGGCCACACACTAAAAGAAATCAAAGCAATTGTGTCTATTGTATATTTTATGACTGAGATGTAACTGAAGAAATCTTAATTAAAACCTTTCATATAGTAAAATGACTAACTCCACCAGATTTTAGAAGAGGGATGTCCTCCTGCATGAAGGTAAGGGAGACGCCTCTAAGACAAACCATAACAAACTTTTCAAACAGCACAGCATCATCTAGTGCAGGGGTGTCCAACCTTGGCAACTTTAAGACTTGTGGACTTCAACTC